GCTGCTGCTGCTGCTGCTCTGGCACTGCTGGGTCCGGCCGGCCGGCGCCGACAACGCCAGCCAGGCGTACTACACCGCCCTCATCAACGTGACGGTGCTGAGCCCCGAGCGGGGCGGCCCCACGCTGCTGAGGATCGACCGCGGCCGCTACGGGCAGGATTCCCCCAAGGTGGAGGTCAAGGGCCTGCTGGTGGCTCCCGTCCCCATCAACGGAGGTAACGCGTCCCTCGCAGCCGCTGGTCGCTTGCCGTCGGGTCGCCTTTATCTGAGCTTTGCAGACTTTCCTAGAGAGCTCGGGCAAAAGGGGAGGAAGGACTTGCCCAGAGGAAAATAATAATAAAAAAGTAATCCATGGTCTGAGGGTCTGCAAAGCATAATGTGTTTTGCAGTGTGGGTCCCAGCAGGCTAGTCATACTGAGTGATGAGGGTGTTACTTCTAAACTAATTGCAGAGATTCAGTAGCGACAGCTAACGGTATTTGGTTAGGGCATTGCCGTGAATCTCGGGACGGCTGCATAGATATCTCACTGTGACAGACGTGCATCTGGATGGCTTTTGCAGCTGCATGGTCATGACTGTTCAGTGTTCGTTTCTTAAAGATGCTGTTTGAGCTTCCTGTCAAGACTTGGAAAAACTGAAGCTGTCAAGCTGTTACTGTTGTGGCCAGTCCAAAACGCGCTTGTTTGCGGCATTGAACGTTGTGTAGTGCTTCCAAATGAGTTTTAATTAAGTGAAGCTGTTGTCCATTGGTTGTGTTTTTGACCAATGCTGTGTTTTATAGAGAACAGTAATTGAAACAAGTGATAGTATTGTCTTGAAGTGAAACCAATTGCTTCAGTCATAACGATGTGGTTTTAGTAGTACCTTATTTCAGAAACCCTTCTTGACATTATCTAAACTACTGTCTTCAAGAAATGGACCACTTGATGGATCACAGTGGTCCCAACCTGTCTCCTGGACAGTAAACCTCTCAATAATGCATTAAATGAAATAATGTTGTCAGTTAAAACTAGACTTTTAAGTGGTGAATATTAAGTGGGTTTTTTAAAAGAATTGGTAACACAGACCTACTGTATTATTAAAAGCTTTTGAGAATTTACCAGATCTTAAGATCAGGAAAATACTTTGATGCTTCTTCAGAATGAAATGCATCCTGCTAAGCAGCCTGCTACAAGCTTCTAGTACGTGTGAAGCAGCCTGTGCATCAGCAGATGCTTGCCAGTTTCACTGAAGCTCGATTTTATTAGCTTTACAAAGCGTTAACTACAGTATATTAATGCACCATATTTTGGGGTGGGAGGGTGAGGAAGCAGAAATTGTTGAGCAAGTCTACTGTGAAATGATTTTCACTTGTACTTCAAATCCTACCTTCACCGTGCTCTGAGTCAGCTATCATCAAATATGCTTAGTGTTTCTTTCTCCTGCTTCCTGGTATTCCTCACTTAAAACACACACCCTGACTGCCATGTGAAATCAGGACGCTGTTCCTGAAAGCCTTAGGCACATAAACATTGTTATTGCAAGTAGTATTTTTAGGGTTTTTAAAAACGCTGCCTTTTAATATATACAAGGTATCAAAATACTTTATTTTCTTTAGTAGCTGCGTTGTTTCTCAAGAAAATCTTCTGATATTATTACTTTTTAACCTTCTGTAACTTTTTCTGCTTTCTTCTGATATCTTCACTAAAGTGTGATTAAAACATTGAGGGTGGCTGACAGCATTTTCACTAGAAGCGAATAATGAAAAGAGCTGAATAAAATTCTGAGCAGCCCATAAACAGCGTTTTTATACCTTACTGCTAAGTATTATGATGAATAACTTCAGTGAGAAAGCACAGCAGGAGTTGTGAAATTGCAGACCTCAATTTCTGTAGTTTTGACGTGCTGCAGTCATTAAAACTTTGCCATCAGTTGTTGGGAAGATTCAGTTTTGTCCTTCTGTTTGTCAGCAGAAGGCTGTTAAAGCAAACAATGCAGCAGTTGTCATCTTTTAAAGTTCTACTGGATTGTTCTGTATAGGTTGTTGTATAGTGTACATTCTATTTTAATTTTGCTGAGGTACGCTTCATGTGCCTTAAAAGTATTTCATGTACAGGAAGGACTGGAATATTTTATGCTTTTAGTTAAGATGTTCTTGAATGCTAGAGGGTCTTACATTTATATTCCTTTTGTATTTAGATTTGATAAAAGACAATGCTGTCTTGCTGAAAGTAATTACTCTAATGCCTTTTTATCAGCCTGTTAATATTGCTGTAGAACTTGTTTGCAAAATATTTTTTTTCTAGTAGCTCTTAACAGGAGTAGCTAGCACAAACCTCTGCTGTTGAAGCAGTAAGTGCTCTACCCTGGTTCTCGTAGATCCTAAGAAGAAAAAGACCTTGCAACTGTTAACAACTATGTTTGAGAATGCCTCGACTTTGAAACTGCTCTGATGTCAAGCATTCACCCGTTCATGGGCTATACCTTGAAATTTCCATGAATGTGGGTTATCTATTAGCACCTTGATGGCATAGACTTTGGCATCCATGTTTTAGAGGTGAAATGTCCCTCATGTCACATTTTTGAGTGCTGTGTTAAGATCCCTCACTCATTGACTATGGGGAAATAAATTAATTTACCGATTCAAGATTTAGGGCCAATGATTGCTGCTGAACATACACCATTTGTAATAGCACAGCCTGTGATTTTAATTGTTGTGCTCTGCGGTGTTTTTTGTTAACATCTGTTCTTGAATATGCCCAATATTTTATATATTACTTTTTGAAGTTGCTAGTCCTGTATGATTACCCATGCTTTAAATATCAGTGCAGAATGGTACATCAATCACTTCTCCTGTTTCTTTATCAGAATTTCTTTAATCAAATTCAACCTTGTCATGTTAATACATGTATTAAAACTCCTTCCCTGTTCTTTTTATAGATTCTCGTATGAAATTGATACTGGATTTCAAAAGCAATGTTCCCCTGGAAGTGATATGGCAGTAATTTGTGTGACCGCTTGTGAATGTGATTTGTGAAAGTGTAGCCTCAGCAAGCTGTCGGTCACAGTTGGCTGCTGGGTGTGAATACAGCACCTGCGTACGCCTCTCTTTCCAAGTGCATTAAATGCATGACAGCAGCAGAGTTTCTCTATTTGTCTCTCTTCCATTCTTCTAGTTCCTTTTCTTACTTCCTCTAACCTGTGATCTTTTGTCATGACTTGACTTCTTATTAAAAGAGCATTTTAAATAGTTTCTGGATATGAATGCTTCAGATCACCCAAAAATGCTCCTCTCGTCCTGCATGGAAGGATAATAGTGAAATGCATCTTCACAGCCTGATGCAGCTTTTCTGATAGTTTAGTTCCAGTTTATATCATCTCTTTGGTGAGGTTACTGAGCATTTCTCCTTCAGTCCCATCCTCAGTTGTTTGTAACTTTCTGAAATGAGCCATTTTGGCCCAAACTTCTCACACTGGCTGCATAGGTACTCGTGGCAGTGTCTGTACATGCACTGTGTAAGTGTTCAGCCCTGTGCCACTCTAGTGACCTTTGCTTTTGAGCATCTTTGGTATTAGGTGTCTGATACCAGTTGTGGTGCTGACCTTTAGCTGTCAAGCATATTCCTATTGCTATGACAAACCAAGCTAGAAGCCACTGAAAACTCCCTTTAACAGTTCTTGGTAGAAACTGCAACACTTTGTGGCTTAGTTCCTTCAAAAGTGTTCTCCCAGGTGAATGGGACTTTTCTGTAACTGTTGAGTCCAGGTTATCACATGTCGTTCTGGGTTTGGATACACAGTTGAGGACTGGAAATGGCACTCCTGTGAGCTCTCAAAGTGCCCTCGCAGATGGTTGGACCTTGCCAGAGGTGAGGTTTTGTGGGTCTTGCCTGCCTTGGGTAGCAGGGAAGCAGGCAGGGTGATTAGGGCTGGAGATGGGACCGATAGGAAGTGAAACAGCAGCAGACTCAAAGCCAAACTTGAAAATGTTCGGATGTGCTGAGCCTATAGGTCACAAAGGAGGGAGTGAGGAGGGATGGAAAAGGAGTAGAGTCTCTTCCTCACTTCCCCACCTGTGGGGAGGTGATGGTTGTATGAAAGCTGGATTGGAGAACACAGAAAAGGGAGATCTGTGCTGAAGGTAGTAGGGTTGTGGCTGGGCAAGGAGACTGAGAATTTGAGGAAAAACATGTTAGAAAAAGGTGGAAATGGGGAAGAAACAATATTGGTACAGTGTTAGGAATGGAGGTGAATCTTGTGCATGGTACTGTAACTATGGCATTTTGTAGCATCTGACACTCGATAAACGCGTGTGAACAAGTTTTAGCTGCAGAAGGTTTAAAATGCCAGTTTCCTGGTAACTGCAGATCTTTAGGTAACACTCGGGCAGAATTTTGTGTTCCTTTCTGGCCCAGAATCCAAAACAGTAAGCTTTTGGAAAATGCAACATCAAATAGATAATAGAGTGGTGGAACAAAAGTCTTGTGCCATGCATCCATCCTTTACTGTTGGTCTCGGTATCCAGCTTAATTAGTAGTCATTAATTGATAACAAAAGTGGAGGTTGTATATTGGAGTTTGTAGCCATAATCGTAGTATACTTACTGAGCTGACAAGATTAAATTTGAACTACTACAGGATCTTCTAAGCTTCAGTGACTTTCTTTTGTTTAACTTCTTCTCTGAAACAAGATTACTTCTTGTTCAAAGAGGTTTTTTAGTGTTAATGCCAGCTTTAGTCAAAGCAATTACCTGAAATAGCTCTTGAAAATAAAATATTGCTGTACATAACTCATTGACACAGCTTTTTAGAAGTGGAAGTTGTAACTGGCTTGGATAAGGACTATATTGATAATAACACAAGTCGTAATGCATTGAAAGAAAATATGTGTTAATTACACATATTACACCCTAAGGGGATAGCAAATAAGGAGTACCCTTCCTTGAAATAAGGATCAATCGGTGCTGCTGTGTTGCTTCTGTAAATTTCCCATCTGAATTCCTCTTCTGGAAATTTTATCACAGGATTATAATTAACACGTTGCATGAGGCTGCTGTTTTGCCAGTCAGGTGCCCACCTGCCTGGCCAGTGCCCACTGCAGGGAGGGAGGGGGGAATGCTTTGGGGCACAGGCTGCATGGGTCTGCATCTTCCTGTGTGCTGTTTTCTTTCCCAACAAGTCTCTTGATCTGCTTCCCCTCGAAATATTGGTGGTGTCTCTCCACCTATTGTATTACAGCGGTTGAAGGTCAGGCTTTAAAATGATTTCTGTCTATGTAGCTGAGACAGACCAGCTCTGGCAACTGGTGCTGGCCTCATAGAGTAGATATTGATGCAATCAATATCAAGATATCTGACCTCTTTTTTTTTTTTAAAAAAAAAAAAAAAGGAATCAAATAGTTAATACCCAGGGTGTGGGATCATGGCACTGGCCTTTTGCTGTGAAAAGGGGACAAAGTCTGATAACAGCAGCCTTGGCTGAAGAGGGACATCACAGCTACTTTCTAAGCTGTGTGAGAACAACATAAACACACGGTGGGCGAGAGAAAGCAAACCCGGTTGTGGTTCAGAAGTAGGAGGAGACTGTCTGCATTCAGGGAGGTGTGTGCTTACTTCTGACAAAGCCTCTGGCAGCTGACCTATTAATTTCACTTTTGCACCCACAAAATGGCTATCCCTCTTCTAAGGGGAAGCTAAAGGACCTGGTCAAGCATGTGGAAAAGATGAGGAGGAAAGTGCCATTGCTGTGCTAATGAGAGCTTGACAATGCTTCTTCAGTAGTGGAGGAAGCCTGGTTGGATCTATTGCATTATTAACTATTTCTTTCATATGAATCCTTAAAATGCTGTCACAAACATTAGTCCTTCAG